GTTTGTATACAGAAATTTTAGCAAAATTCTGGTTGTATACAGAGAAAATTGCTCTTGACCTACAAAGCGAAATCTGAAATCGGGCTATTTGGGTCCCACCAAAATCTGTTTGTATACAGAGAAATTTTAGGCCAAAATCTGTTTTGTATAAGAAATTTGCCTCTTTTGGACCTACAAAGCGAAAACTTGTTGCATATTAGAAATCGCTATTGGTCCCACCAAAATCTGTTTGTATACAGAAATTTTAGACCAAAACTGTTTGTATACAGAAATTGCTCTTTGGGACCTACCAAAGCGAAATTCTGTTTTCATACAGAAATCGGCATTGTTGGTCCACTAAAATCGGAACAGAAAGGCAAAAATCGTGTATACAGAAATTGCTCTTTGGAACCTACAAAGCGGAAATCTGTTTGCATACAGAAATTCGCTATTTTGTCCACCAAAATCTGTTTGTATACAGAAATATCACCAAAATCTGTTTGTATACCAGGAAATTGCTTTCTTTTGGGACCCTACAAAAGCGAAATCTGTTTGCATTACAGAGGAAATCGGCATTTTGGTTCCCACTAAAATCTCGTTTGTATACAGAAATTTAAGCAAAATCTGTTTGTATACAGAAAATGGCTCTTTTGGGACCTACAAAAGCGAAATCTGGTTGCATACAGAGTCGGCAGTTTGGTCCACCAAACAAAGCTATTTTGGATTTAAATTCTACTAATGTTATTGCAAAAAGTTGGATCTGTTGTACACAGGAATTTACTTTTCTCAACAGAACCCTTGACGTCGCACCGATGCTACCGATGCCCTAGAACGGCTAATCTAGTCCGACTGGAGCCTTCAGGTCTTTTCAAACAAAATCCTTTCGAGGCCAATTCAGACCGCGCTTCGGAGGTAAACTTCAAGGCCAATCAGACCGTGCTTGGAGATATCAAATCAAATCAAAAAAAATTCCTTCGAGCCAAATTCAGACCAGCGCTCGGAGGATCTTTCAAAAACCAATCAGACGAGTTTGGAGATCATTACCAATCCGACTGGAGCCAAACAAAAGCCCGATCAGACCGAGCTGAGAAGGTGGACCAGTTAGATCTAAATCAAATCAAATCACCCAAAAAGTCCTTCGAAGCCAAATCAGGACCGCGCTTCGGAGGTAACTTCAAAGGCCAATCAGGACCGTGCTTTGGAAGATAAATCAAACAAAATCCTTCGAGCCAATCAGGACCGCAGCTTTTCGGAGGTAAACTTCAAGGCAATCAGGACCGTTGCTTTTGGAATGATCACAAAATCCTGCGAAGCCAATCAGACTTGCACTTCGGAGGTGACATTCAAAGCCAATGAGAGCCGAGTTTTCGAAGGTGACTTTCAAGCCAATGAAACTGAGCTTTGGAGATCGAAGCCAAGATGAAGCGCGTCAGTAGGCCACTTTAACATTAATGTTATGCCAAAACATTAATGATTAAAGTGCGGGGCAAACTGTTGACGGTGGTTTTTTATGCCCGCCTGATCCGATGAGGACCACGAGGATAATGAGATAATGGTATTAGAAGTCTTTTCATCAAGGATTTTAGGATTTTTATAAGAAAATAAAAAAAATTAACAAATTAAATTAAATTAATTAATTAAAATTAAAATTAATTAATTAAAAAAAAAGAAAAAAAGAGGGGTACCTACTTGCTACAGTAGCCTCGTGCTACAGTAGTAACCTAGCTCTATAAATTTATCTCTTTCTCACAATTTTCACACAACACACACAACTTCACAATCTAAAAACCCTAAAAAAAAAAACAACACCGAGCAGCCACATTCTCCTCCAGAAACTCTTGTGAGTTAATTTAATTTGGAGGAAAATTGGCATTAGATATTAATTTTAGGTGATTTAAATCATAAAAAGAAAAAAAATCAAAAGATAAAAAAATAAAAAAGTATATCAATCCTTGGAAAAAAGCTTCTGGAGATCTTGATCCATCTACAATCCTCAATTTGGGATCATGGTAAATTTCTTTAACGTCTTTTTTTTGTATTTTTTTACATATTTTAGTTTCCTGTTTTTAACATATTCTTGTGATGTTTAATATTTTAAGTTTCCTTTACAAATTATATTTCTGTTTCATATTTGGCCATTTTAGTGTCCTTAAAATTACATATTGAACAATAAATTACATTTGAACAAGAAATAATGTAAAAAATACTTAAAAATGGATTCTGGGCAAAAATCACATAAATGTTCGTCGATGAACAGTAACTGTTCATTAATATTCCCAGAAATAATCGATGAACAGTAACTGTTTGTTCAATGAACAGTAACTGTTTTTTAATTTCCCAGAATTTAATCGATGAACAGTCATTGTTTGTTCATCGATGAACAGTGAATGTTCTTAATTTTTCCAGAAATTGATACTGTTCACACACTATTCAGGCACTCTTCACGTACTATTCATTATTTTTCCCAGAAATGATCGAAGAACAGTAACTGTTTGTTCATCGATGAACAGTACTATTCATCAATTTTTCCAGGAAAGATAATAATAAAAAAAAAATATAATTTACAAAAATAAATAGTTTAACTTCTTCAATAAAAATCTGAGAATGACCCAACTAATGGAAACATCCTTATAATAATTGAGCTAAATATTAAAATGTGATTAATATACTATATTTATTTGCTATGAATTATTATTATTATTTGTATGAAATTTCTATTGGTTATGGAATTAATTTGATTGATCTGTAATATTTTTTGATCCGGTTTGTTGACCCGCCTTTAACCATAAGGCAAGAGCGGCGCATTTTATTATTTGATATTATTATTTTTTGAATTCGAGTTTGTCGCCCGCCAACCATAACGGCAAGAGCCGGGTACTTTATTTATTTGTTTTTAATTGCTTTGGTTTATGCTTTATTTTGAATAATTGCTATGTGCATTAATTAGATTTGTTTGCAGACGATTTAAACAATTTTCCAAAGGAACTCTCACCCTCCGCCCTCGGTGAAACCAATCGTACGTCCAGTGTGCTGGTCCGATTTATTTCGTGGGTTGGAGTTAATTAAAATAGAATAAATTGGGACTTTTATCTCAACATAAAATTTAAATTAGAAATCATAGGTTAATAATAGAGCTGTCGGTTTCCAGGCCGTCGGCTTTCAACGGGACTGACGTACCTCAATTCCCAATTACCAGAATCGCATTGGTGCGCTGACCAAGTGCTTTAAAATAATTGGGCCTTAAAAACAAATATTGGGTTATTAAATAATGAGTTCATTTTATGATAAAAAACGTTCTCATTGCCTAATACAATGGTGGCGCACTTCAAATTTGTTATAAGACCACCCCTTTATCGGCATCGCCATCCAGAATAAAAAAATATTTCAATAAACTACAAAAAGGATGCTTTCGGGTTCCTCTGGCGGGATTTCGGGCGGATAACAGGTCCCAGAGGGAGTGAAGTCAGTTTTCTTCCCAACCCAGACAGCTGGCTATCTCTCAGTGGGCAGGACGTTTCACGCGCCGACCCATTATCAAATGAGAACATGCGGCACGGTTTTGTCTCGAGTCTGGAACAGGCATAAAGGAGCTATTGTTATGATCTGCCTCCCTCCTGGGCAAATCGTCATCAGAGAAACCGATGCTTCGTTGTTTTAATCGATTGGGTAGGCGTGCGATACTAGCACCTCAGGGCTAAACTTCCACAGGTGTCTGAAAGTTGACATCCAAAGCCTTGCGAAAGAGCTTAGCCGATGAGGAAAGGATTGGAGGAAAGGATGATGCCAAAAGTTCCCAGATTGACACCCTAGCTTGTGTCTTTTTTAATTGTGACAGCACCGGGTCCTCCTTTGGCTCCTCTGCACTCTGGTAGGGTTTATTTTGAATTTTGTCCAAAACTGACGGTTCATATTGTCTCCCGCTCCTAGTAATGGCATCGACCTCTTCGCTCAGGTCATTCAAATCCAAGACACAGATGTTATTCATTTCCAAAAATAACTCGAAAGGATCGATTAACTTCTGGTCAGAACCAATAGCATTTACCCCGTGATTTGGTAAGGGATTAGTGCTAATGCTTGGCTTACTTCTTGGGATGATTGACCCATTGTCTACCAGGTCTTGTATGCGGTTCTTGAGTTCTTGAGCGGTCCACACATGCTTCAGTCTTGTGCCCGACTATCCCTATGATACTCAGCAGTATTCGTCTTGGCCTTATAGTTTCTCGTAGTGGGATGGGAGGTGCCCTTGCGGCTCTAAAGGCTTGCATATAGTTGGGCGCTGAGCAGCCTTCGGAAAACCACAAAGGATGTCATTCCAAGGTCATGTATGTTCTTTCGTCGATTGATTACCATTCCTTCATATTCCCACTCGCTAAAGGGTTGGTGAAGTGAGCTTTGCCACTTCGTGGACCTTGCCTAGCATGGTTATGGTTTCTTGTTAACTTGGAGGTCCCTGAGTCGTCTTTCAGTTGCCCCATTTGGATCAGCATCCTCTTCACCTTTGTGCGGATCAGATCTTCCACCTTTGTAGCAGTGGCGATGAGCGACTGGAACGTTGGTAGGTACTGGGTTTGCAACCGTTGTTGGTAAACAGGCTGCTGGTTTTTTATTATTATATTGACCTGCTCCTGCTCAGAAGGCTGATTAATCATCTGGGCAGCTTTGGCCCTCCACCTCGTAAGGAACGAGGAGAAAGGCTCATTATTCTTCTGCTTGGTGGTCTCTAACTCTCTTCGAGTAACGTCCACCTCCATATTGTAGTGGTACTGTGAATTGAATGCATTACAGATATCCTCCCAGGTCTTCATCTTAGACCGATTAAGGCTAACAAACCATCTTAATGCTTATATGCAGCACCGGTAAGAGATTGTGGAACACTGAGCAAGGAGCTTTCGCTGCTTCAGATCCGAAATGGGTTTAAGGCACCCACATACATTACATACATTTTCAGATGAGTTTTGGGACAAGTGGTCCCATCAAATTTGTCCATGTTGGGCATCTTGAACTTAGTTGGCAACCTGGCTTCAGGGAACAAGGACTAAGGAGTCCATGTCCACCACTTCCTTGTGGGTTTTGAGAGCAGTGATGGACCTTTCTAGGAGCTCTAGTTTCTCTCTCATTCTCTGAGCTTCCAGTTTAGAGGCAGTTTTAGAGGGCATATCATCCAGGTTCAGGGCAGGGTTTGTAGGTTCAGCAGCAGGACCCTGATTGGAGGCAGCAGGTCCACTTCCCCCGGCAGCTCCATTTCCATTACCACTACCTAGTTCAGCTATTAGGGCAGTTCTCTAGGTAGCTAATGCCTCATTCATTCTAGCCTCCATTCTAGCTTCCAGTTGTTCCACGAGATTTTGAATGTCAACAAGTGATGCCATTGGTGCAGTGGAAGTTGGTGGGGTTGGTGAAGCTGGTGAGGTTGGTGATAGCACTATAGGTGTGACTGGAACTTGGATAGGCACTCGATAGCACTTGTAGGTGTGATCTGCACTTGGGTAGGGCACTCGGACTTGTGGGCACCTGTAAAAAATAAAAAACGGGTAAGGGTAGCTTGGATTAGGTACAGGGTCGGTGTATCAGTAGCTGATGTGAGGTGAATGACTCTTTTGTCCAGACTATGCATGACTGAAAGTGAAAAGGGTATTTCATGCTCTCTTGTGTTTACCCCGTGTTTATGAGTATGTCGGTGAATGCGCATAACAAAGACACGTTCATAATCTGTTTAATTGATATGATTCACATCATTGGGTGACAGTACAGTCCTAAAGGGATAGGTTCTATAGGCTAATGACTCAAAAATAGAGAGATCGGTTTATAAAGGGACCCTTGAACCTTGGAGTATGGATATACCTAACCAATTATGTGAAACAAAGAGTTTCACGTGGGTTCCAACGTACGGCATACCATGGCGCCACCCCAAAGGATTAGGGAGGCGGATTTGCGGTAACAGGGAGGACGCTTTGGGCTGTCTGTCGACATAATCAAAGAGACCTTGCCGATCAGCTGCTTACTTTGCTATCCAGGACTCAGAAGTTTTAACAGAGTTTCTTCTTCATTCTCCAAGAGTGGCAGAACCTATTGATGAATAAAGCCCTAAGTTTTCTTGTTATTCTTTGTGGATTTATGATCTTAAGATGACATTTGATGAGCATTTGGTATGTGGTAGAAATCTCTACCTTGTATATGATATAAGTAAGCTGAAATGAGGAAAAAGTGTTATTGGGTGTGATTACAGCCTATTTTTTGATCCTTTTCATTTTCCATTGGTGTCTGAGTCCTTCATGAACGTTGTAGGTCTACTTCTTAGCTTTCCAACCCATCCTCTTGTGAACCCCTCCCCAAAATGTCATTAGGCATATGAATGCATGTGACTAAGGGAAGAAATGCACGTGAATGTATGAGTCGCCACCTTGTTTAATTGCTGCTTTAGGGTAAACTAGGAAAAAACCACTAAAATGACTCCAATTTTATTAACCAAGTTAGTTACGTAGATTAATATCCAGATGTCTAAAGGCATACATTCTGCGAACCTGAGGTGGATCCGAGACTATGTCAATGCTGATGAACTAAACCAAAAATGAATGCTTGCAAGAATGATTGCCGACAATGGAAATGTTTTCAGTGAGTTTTGAATGATTGCGACTTGCCGCTCACCGGGGTTAAATCCCGAACGTTGCTACTTCCGTTTGAATGGAAGATCAAAGTCCACGTAGTTCGATAGGCCTCTTCTAGAGGGCTTTAGATGGGATGCTTGATGCATGAGTGTGTGTATACTTTGTGCATTTTTGTTTAGGCATTTTGCCAAAGAATTGATTGTTTCAGGCACTTGGTGCCAAAATGCTGATTTGAGGCTTTTTGCCAAAAGAAAGGATTTGGGCTTATTCTTGCCAAAAGATAAGTTGTGCTTATTTGCTTGCCAAAGATTAATTGAGCTTATTATTGCCAAAAGATTGATTGTTTAGGCGATTGTCGCCAAAATTGAATGATTTAAGGCTTTTTAGCCAAAATGAATTGATTTAGGCAATTGTTCCAAAGGTTGGTTCAAGGCTTTTAGCCAAAAGAAATTGATTTAAGCGATTTGTCGCTATAAAAGAGATTAATTTTCACTTATAAGCAATTTATTTGCTTAAAGTGATTATTTAAAGGATTTATTGCCATAAAAAAAAAGTGTTTAAAGTAGACCTTTTTTAGTCACAATCATTGATTAACTGGACTTAGGGCCAAGAACTGTTTCGAAATAAAAGGCAATTTCACATAAGAGTATTGTCACCATAGTTATTGATTAACTAGGCTTCTTTAGCCAATAATGTCAGATTTAAGCTTTAATACCACGATTATTAATTAATCGGGCGTTTAAACTTAATCTTTATTTGATTGAGGCAATTTATTTGCCTAGTGGATGATATGGATGCATTTAGGCAGTTATAGAGTTAATAGGAGTAGAAAAGAAGCATGCATGAAGTGCTAAAATTAAATAGGCGTAGTTTAGTTTGTGTACCTGATTTAATCTCCGACCGCTTCTTAACTCCAGGTTAAGCTCCTCGTTAAGGGAAATATTAATTAAAATGGAGTTTTAATGGCCACTTAACCACTTAACAGAAGCAAGAAAAAAAATGAAAAGCTAAATAAAAATAAAATAAAGAATGCAGAAAGCGATAAAAGAAATCGCAAAGAGCAGTAAAGGGAGAAGAAAGAGTCCGTCAACACAGACTGTGTGTCCTAAAACGGAGGCCCCGGGGCCTCTTTTTATAGGAAAAAACGCACCCGCGGCGCGCCTGCCCGCCTCGAGGGCGGGGCGTGCCCGCCCATGCTGGCGAGCGAAGCCCCGCCCATGCTGGGCGGCATGTCCGCCAGGTTGGGCGGGCGTGCCCGCCTTGCCTGGGGGCGCGCCCAGTCCTTGAGGGTGGGCATGCCCACCTCGCGGTGGACACCCCGGTGCCCTTTTTTTTCCCGGTTCCGGAGCTCTTCCCGGAGTTCCGTTCCGGACTTCCGAAAAAATATTCCGAGACCAGTTCCGTGATCCTCCTAATTTTTCGGACATTTCAAGTACCATATTGGCACACTTCCGGTGAGCTTTTTTGAACGACCACCGGTCCGACCGGACTGTTTGTAGTCCGAAAGAATTGGCTCTTTGAGCCTCAAAATTTAGGTGTTCACAGTTGCCCCCCACCGGCAACAATAAAAGATGTTTTATGGGCGCCAGTGGTTGTCTGAAAACTAAATTTTGTAGGCGAAAGTTAGACGCGTCAAAAGGACCCGCCTCTTGGCTATTCGCTTATAAATAGCTCAAAACTTATTATTTCATTCATTCTTCACTCTCCAAATCAAAAGAGCTCTCTCAAATTCTCTCAACTTTCTCATCATGGCTTTCCTAAGCTATAGCAGCGACGAGGACTTTCTGGAGTCTCTGGGAATTTCTGTGGACGATGTCAATCTTGCGGCGGACGCTGACATTCACGCTTCCATGACCGGCATCTTCGCCCAGGTAAGCTCCCTTTGCTTCTGTACTTTTGGGCCTTAGGCCAAGTGTGAATTTTTTGGGCCTTAGGCCAAGGCGAAAGTTTGACGCGTCAAAAGGACCCGCCTCTTGGCTATTTGCTTTATAAATAGCTCAAAAACTCATGATTTCATTCATTCTTTACTCTCCAAATCAAAAGAGCTCTCTCAAATTCTCTCAACTTTCTTATCATGGCTTCCCCAGGCTATAGCAGCGACGAGGACCTTCTAGAGTCTCTGGGAATTTCTGTGGACGATGTAAATCTTGCGGCGGACGCTGACACTCATGTTTCCATGACCGGCATCTTCGCCCAGGTAAGCTCCCTTTGCTTCTATACTTTTGGGCCTTAGGCCAAGTGTGAATTTTTTTGGGCCTTAGGCCGAATTGTGATTGACTCTTACCACTTTTATTAGTATGCATGCTGGGAGAAGATTAAGATATCTTTTAGTTAGGAACCAAAGGATAACCTTAAACTGTTTTACCTTTTAGGATGCATACATTAGACTGGACGTGGGTGAGTCCTCTATTGCTGAAATCCCATTTGACATACTTGATCCTAATACCCCGGTCGGAGCTATGGTGGGACATATTTGACATACTTGAGTCCTCTCACCTGGACTTCTTAAGAAATCTCGAGCTGGGTAGGCAGAATTACAAGAATTTACTGGGCGCGTTGGCTGAGCGATGGTGGGACACCACCAACACTTTCCACTTCTCTTGGGGCGAGATGACGATGACCCCAACTGACTTTTCATTGATTTCTGGGATTCCTTTTGGTACTTTTGGTAACTCTCGGCCGATCGAGGACGATTGGAGGACTGCGGTCACCCCCGACCGAATGACAGAGCGAGCTGATAGGGATTGACCTTCCCCGGATCATCAGACCCAACCATTCCTCCCCAGATCTGAGTGTTTCGAGGCACTGGTTATCCTCCCAAGCCCCTACCATTTATGTCAGGTATAGACAGGGAGAGCTAACGGCTACTCAGGTAGCTAGATTCACTCTGCTGCTGCTATTTGCTTCGTCTTTCTGGTCTAACAGACAAGAGAAATTTAATCCCTCTATACTGAAGAGTTTGGAGGACCTGGCTTACCTCACTGAGTATGACTGGGCCGGTGCTATTTTGAGCCGCATGTACGATGATATGTGCTGAGTCGGGGCCACTGTAGAGGCCACTGTAGGCTCAGTGGCACCTACTATTTCTGGGAGGTAATGTAAAGAACATATCCTTATTCTGTGCCCCCTCTTTTTTTTTATTATTAATCCTTTCCTTCCTTGTGCAGACTTGGGCCTTTGAGTATTTTCCCTATATCCACCCTGAGCTGGCCCGTACTAATCTTGGGCTAGGGTTGGTACCTTTAGCTTGGAGATGGTACCGAGCTAACCAACAGTTTGTTCTACGCCGGAAGTCTTTGGGGGATCTGCGGAGCTGTCTTTGGGGGATCTGCGGAGCTTCTTCGATGCTTGTACCATAGGGCAGGCGAGTGCATTCCTAATTTCTCTTGGTTGTGTGAAAAATAAAAAAGATTTATTAACATATTTGCTTCTCTTACATAGGTTGAAGTAGGGGCGATGGGCATCCGACTCCAACATTGGATTGAGGCGGATCCCCATTTCAGGCGATCAGAGGCTCTGTCCTGTCTCGGCGGCGGTTTGTCTTATCCCATCCTATTCTGAGACGTTACTACCTGGGTGAGCGAGTGGACTTCCAGGTTAGGGGCTGCGGCTCCGTTCCTCTTCCTCCCCCAAAGGACATGCGAGCGGGCAAACAGATGGTTCTTACAGATGTCCATACTGAGGGTATCCCGCACATGGAATTGATCCGGGGTGGAGATTATGACGAATTCTGCCAGGTGTTTCTGATGCGGCCCATCGGCGGCCCATCGGCTCCAGGGTTTGACAGTCTCCGCGAGGGTCCCCCCCCCCCCCCCCCCCCCCCCCCCCCCCCCCCCAATTGATCCGAGGTGGAGATTATGACGAATTCTGCCAGGTGATCGGCTCCAGGTTTGACAGTCTCCCGAGGTCGACTCCTTCCCACCCGCTTGGCACCCGTTCCTCTCGGGCTTCAGGTTCTTCGGCCAGGACTCCAAGGAGGAGGCCTGTGACCCTGCCTTCTTCTTCTACTCCGGTGGGGGGTCCGTCTCGAGCTGACCCTAGTCATTCGGTTGGTGCCTTCAAGATTCCCCAGGCCATTTCAGAGGCTACCAGGCCTGTCCACCCTGGCTTGGCCAATTTGCACCTTCCATACAGCATTTCCTATTACACTCCTGAGGGTACTTCGTCTCTTAGGGAGGTATCCCTGGACCGTGTGAATCGCCTGGGTGTGAATTGCCTGGCTCTTCCTCCTGATGACATCAATGAGGTAATGACTGGTAAATTTCTCATAAAAAGGATTCATAAGAGATTTGTATATTGACTTTGTATTTTTTTGTGATTCCCAGGTTCCTGACGGCTTGATCCGTCAGATGATGGAGCTAATCCTTGGAATGCAGGAGGAACTAACTTCAGCTTGGACATTGCAGGCTTTTGACGACCAGAGGAGGAGGAGGTCTCGCCGCTGATAGCTGCTAGATTTCTTTGCTTTCCTTTACTTTCTTTCCCTCTTTATTTCTTTATTTCCTTCTTGTATTGAATCTTGCCCTGTATTTCTGTACTCAAAACTTATTTGTACATGCATTTGATTAATACTGACAGCAATGCATGCATTAGATTTTGAGCAGAAAAGGAATTAAAAGTACACACTTTTTTTTTTTTTTTTTTTTTACCGAAAGAGAAAAGGAAAGAAAAAGAGTTATTTTCTATTTTTATTTCTATTTTTTCTATTTTTTATTATTTTTTTTTTAAAAAAAGGAATTTTTTTTTTTTTAAAAAAAGAATTAACAGGACAGACAAATAAATAAATAAAAAAGATGAATCCCTTTTGCAACCATAGCATGCATAGCTGGACCAGGAGTCTCTCCAAAGTTGAAAAGATCAATTTGGGGAGGTACGGAATTTCTCCCGTTATCGCCCTTAGGGGTGTAGTAGTTGACTGGGACTTTTTGCGAGCTTGTATTAGATTTTGGGATCCTGAGGCTCATGTTTTTCGGTTTGGGGCTATGATGGAGGAGGGCTATGATGGAGGGAAATGTGGTCCTCCTCTTTGAGAGGTTTTGTTGGCGATTGTGGGGTGTGACCCAATGCTCCTAGTCAGCCACGAGGTGAAGATTGGGTATGTTAGTCTTTGAAAAAACCTGTTCGGTTTAGCGGCACAGGCTTAGGCTATGATGTAGATAGATCAGAGGCATTCTGCTGCCCTGATTGTATGAATTTCAGAGACTTGCTTGGAAGATCCACGGATGAGATTGAGGATCAGGCTTGGTTTTTGCTATTGGTGGTTTCTTATTCCAACCGGACCCGGGTTTTGGGGAGACTTGCGGCTTTGGCCCTATGGTTTGGCAATGGAGGGATATGAAGTTTGCATTGGCGGTATTTGTGCTGGCTGAGACCATTTAGAATCTTGACAGAGGCCCTTTAGGGTTCGATGATTGGACCGTTTCTCCATTATTTTTGGCAAGGTATTTCCCCTATCACAATCTTTCCTCATTCTTCTTCTTCCTCTTTTTTTCTTATAATGGAAGATCCTTATTCAGGTTTGGGTTTGAGGGATCAATCTTCAAGTAGGGCTGCTCCAACCTCCCTTCCCTACATCCTTCTCAATAATCGCATGCGGAAAATTTTGCTCTCCCCCTTTACTGAAGCCATGGACCTTCATGGCTGGTTGAATGGGTCAATGAGAAAATATTGTGGTTTCCCTTGGTAAACATCAACCGTCTTTATTCAGGCCAGCTTTCGCATTTCCTCGGGTTTATTTCTCCTAGGCCTCACACACTGTACTTTGGTACTGGTGCTTCGCGCGTTGTTGAGGCAGATGGGGATAGATAAGACTGTCCCTTATTATGGATGAATTTCAGCTGATTCTGCGATTACTGCTTGGTGTTACCCAAGCTGTTCTTAAAGCTTGGGTTAAGAGGACACCGTATGGTTTAGACCTTTTACTGATCCTACCAGCGTTCAGACTTTCCCGAGTCCGGGCCCTGGTTCAATTAACCGATTGTCCTGGCCGTTGAAAGACCAAGGAGGACTGCACTGCTGAGTGTTCTCGAGGTTGGGTTAGGCTGATGCTGAATGAGGGGTTGGACAGGTGAGGAGATTGTGCTGGCTCCTCGACAGGCAAGGGCCCCTAGGCAGGTTCGATAGAAAGACTCAGAGGATGGCTCAACGGAGGCGGCGGGATACCTAAGACTTCTTATAGACTTTGATTTTTTTTCTTGTTTGACTTTTGTTTGGGCTTTCAGATTTATTTTCTGGATGTATGCTTTATACTTTCTTAGTTAGTCTTAGATTCAGAGTTACTTTGGTCCTTCTTGTTTGATTCTGGATATTGACCTTTGTCAATTTGGCTTTTATAAACTTTCCAAAGCAATTTCCAAATTTTAATTTACTCGAGCTTTAATTTTTGCCTAAGCTGCCCTTCCGAGTTTTCACTAGCGGCTACCCATTTTGCTAAGCGCCC